ATTTAAAATTAAAATAAAACATTATAATTTAAATGATGAATTCTCTAATCACCATCTCGTTTAGTTTGATTAAAATGAAATGAGTATAGAGTTTTTTAAACTAAACTCCTAAAAAATTTAAACTAATCTTATAAAATAGTAAAATTTAGTGTGAAAATGACTACAGCCCATGTATTGGGTTGGCAAATAAGTCCTTTCGGTTCTTCAGGGTGAAATAAAACTCAACATATTATAGACATAAAATTGATTTTAATCTACAATATATTGATGATCAATTAATATGACTGTTTCTCATCTTTCCACTGACAGCATATTGCCATGTACAAAGAATGTCTGCAGTTTATTGTTAGAAAACTAATCCAAATGGTTCTTGATGTCCTCTTCCAAATTTCTTTCCATTTATGGAGTTCTGTAGAAACCGGAATAGGTGGTAGTCACTTGGAGCTAGGTCTGGTGAATAGGGAGGGTGGATCAAAAGGTCCCATCCAAGGCTCAATAATTTATTGCAAGGGACCGATGAGGTGTTGGGCCTAGCATTGTCTTAGTGGAACACAACACCCTTCCGATCATTCATAACTCTTCAGGATATTCTCCAAATTCGATGTTACTATATCTGTTGGAAAGCTGAAGTATTGCTCTTCAAAGCCGTATGAATGGTTTTTGAATTTAATGCCTACATAAGGAATAAATAAACAAAAACTCCTTATAGGTTTTTATTTTTTATCCCCATTTGTAGTTTGTTTACGAAGGTTCTGTTGATGTCATTTTGTGTAGTTTATGTGACCCTAAATTTCTTGTAGATAGCTTAAGTCGTATTGAAGTTACAACATTTTTTGTGATTTTAGAAAAAAATCGTGTGAGGGATCCGAACATTAAGCCTGGAAACATAGCAGAGTGTGTTCCTACGCTTGTGTGTGACACATTTAGGGCCACAGTGTCCTCTTGCACTGATTGGGTGGGATTTCGATCAACAATGGCCTTAACATTGTTCGTTTCAATTTCGTGTGGGCGACCAGACTCTTGCGCCTCATTGATGTCAAAATTCCAGAATGAAATTTGGCAAATCAATTTTGACAGGTGTGTTCAGTTAATGCATCATCCCCATAAATACTGCAAATTTTTCTATGAGCTTCTGCAGCACTCTTGACTTTTTAAAAATACGCCGACGGAAACAAAATATGCCGATAATGAATATTTTCTTCCATATTCACAGTAAGCTAGTTTCAACAAGAGTTAACAGATATGGTTGTTGACATATTACAAACAGGATAAACAGTCCACCTTAGGAATTAATTCATCACATTAGAAGTGTATTACAGTGACATAAAAATAAATAGAAACACCAAAAGGACTAATTTGCCAACCCAATACAAGGTATTCTAAAATTTAATATGAGAATGCCCCACAGAATATGTGGCACTTTCAGGAAAATATAGGTAATTTAAAATAGTAGAATTTGATAAATAGAAATAGAAAATATTCTCAAGGGACTAGGTCCCTTGAGAATAACAATATTGTTTATACCAATTGACAATAAATCGGCCAGATGACCTATTATAATATAATTTAATAAATATATTTATTTAAAAAATCATGTGTGTGAAATCATATTATTGCAAGAAGAAGTTTTATTAAAACATATCTAGGGGTCCTTCCTTATTTATAATATACATTTATATATGCACAATTGGGTAATAAATAAATACCACTCATCCTAGAAGAAAAAAATTCAATATATACTAGTAAATGTAGAATTGAATAATCATAAGTACAATATTAAAACCAGTTCAATCTCATTCAAAATATTATAAAGAGAGGAAGTAGGATGTTTGAGAAAAAAATGTACAAACTAATAAAGTTCTTTCATAATTCAAATTATTTTGGAAGTGGAAATAATTTTAAAAACAAGTTAAATAATTATTATGGGAGAAAAAACTTTCTGTACCTGTATCTGAAATAAAAAATGAAAAGAAGACCAGCTAGAGCTTGGACAGTAACAAACATTTTTTTTTTCTATTAGCAATACAGACAATGTAGATATTTTGCCGCCTTAACAAGCCTGCTCCATCTCTGCCTCTCTTGGGCTATTTCTTTCCATTTATCTGTGCACAGCTCTATTGCATCTTTGTTGATTCTATCTATCCATCTGCTTTTTGGCCTTCCACATGGTCTTCTATTGAAGCATTCATTGTTATGTAGAGGCTTCCAGATGGATTCGTAAGAGCTACATGCAACACCCATCTTAACCTCCATGCCTTCATATCACGGTATATTGACTTTCTTCTTCATGTGATAGTACTCTGATCCCAGATCACTGCGGTTATTGTGTGGATCATTTTTCTCTCAGATCTTTCAACACTTTTTTCTAAGGTGCTGGTTAGTGCCCATGTCTCACAACCATATATTAGAACTGGATTTATCATAGTATTGTACACCCTTAATTTGAGATTTTTCGGGATTTCAATTCTTTTGAAATGGAGAAGAAAGCCCCGTTTGCGTTAGTTATATACTGATCTATTTCTGCCCATTGGTCATTACTACATAAAATATGTTGGTGCAAATGCTTGTAATCACCATTTAAGATAAAAGATACATACACCTTCATTTCATTGAGGTTATTGTGGAGCCGAGGTTTTTGAATTTTTCTTCTACGCAGCTTCTGTTATTGGGATGGAATTTTCGGATTGTTATCATATATTTTGTTTCGTCTTCATTTACTTGTGGGTCAATCTGCTCTGTCTCTCTTATCTGAGTCTTTACGAGTTTCTTGACCACTCCATCTTCCTGTAATATTGTTCTTTATTACTTTCTTCAGGGCTAAGTTGAACAACATCGGCGATAGTCCATCTCCTTGTCGTAAGCCTGTTCAAACTTTGAAGGCTTCAGATAATTCTCCTTGTATATCAAAACATTATACTTTAACGAAAATGTTTAATAAATACTAAGAAGTGTGTACAAAAACTTACATATCATAATAAGCAGAATTCATGAAAACAAATAAAGTGTAATTAAAAAAAAAAAGGTTTGTCCCAACAAATCACATATATGAGAGGAATTAATGTGTAAACAATAATAGTGAGAGAACTGTAGCAATATGGGTTTCCCTATTAAGAGGTAAAGAAAAAGGCACTTATCTCATCTACAATTGAAATTCGCAAAGTTACACAAAGGTGAAGATATAAACTAACTATACATTTTAATTCTTGGGCCATTATCCACCTTGCAGTGCATCTCAATCTGGGAGAGGTGTCTTGAGGAGTCAAATTAGCACTTAATTTGGGAAAATTTACAAAAATAACTCTATTTATTGTTTGCCATTATTAAATTCGGAAACAAATTAAAAAATGTAACATAAAGAAGAAATTCAGTATTTCAACTTATTATAAAATTATACTTAATTTCCTCAGCTAAGCATTAGTAAATCAATATTTAATCTTTTCTCAAAACTGAAGGAGAATACAACCTTAGTGATGGTGCTCTTTTGCATAATTTTCTTTCTGTATTATTATATGTTTTAATATAAGAGTTAAGGATAACTAAAATGAAAAATATAATTTTTAAAATAAATGTGTTTTTTATTCATCATAATATCCCATATTTCGAATTACAATACACAGAGCTTGAATATTTATCACCAACTGTGGTACACCATTATCAAAATGCTTGTATTTTTGAATGAGAAATTTAAATAATTTTAATCACTATCGAAACAAAAAAGGACAATTAATATATTTATTAGAAATCTGTTTGGTTACAAATCATAAGTGTACACTCACTCCATTATCATAATGCCTGCCAGACATCGTTAAAATGAAACATTGTACCTTTTTGCAGATTTGACTATATTCTTCTTATCGAGCAATTTGATCACAATGATTGTGGAAGAAGAAAAAACTAACCAATATATCTAAGCATTTTTAAAGGGAATCACATAGGTTAGCTTGTGAGATGTAATCTCTGTTTAATCTAGGGATTAAGATGCTGTATTTACAAAATAGCAGTTGTTGTCATTGTTTTCTAATAACATTTTTTCAATTAATCATCAATCTTTCAGATCCATTACTAAACATAACTGAGTGTGCCCTAATGCAGAAAAAATTAGCCATTAGTTCATGTTAGTTATGGTCAATCAAGACAGTACACAGATATTTCTCTTCAAATTCGAGTAAATAAATTAAAAAATTCCTGACACAAAGAAGGTAGTGTGACCTCCATCAAGAGATCTAGACTTATTTTTCACTCATGAATGACTTAGTAGGAAAAATTTAATCAATATCACCTGAAATCATGTTCATGACATTTAGGATCAAAATGCGTTCATCATTTAATTTCAGCTCCAGTGATTTAATTGTAATTTTCTTTTTAAAACTAATATTTGTTTACTAAATAAAATATGTCCGTGCAAATGTTTATAATCACCATTTAAGATAAAAGATACATACATCTCCATTTTTATTAACATGTTGAAAATATTTTATTCAGAAAACTAGGGGCAAAATACTGTAAACTGAAATCTTAGAAACCACAGTATTGACAGTGATCATAACCATAAACCTAAGATATAATTTTTTAAAATTATAGACATAATGCTTATATAAGTATCCTCCCCGCCTCCTCTAAGAAAATAAATAAAAACCCACATTATTTACTATGAAATGTAAAAGAAAATTTATTAACCCCTAGTTGCTCCACGTCAGTATAAGGAATTTTTTTTTTGAAGAAAGGAAATAAAAAATAAGCAAAACTATCAATAATTTTTAAGTGAGGAAAGGAGATCAATAAATTATAAATGTGGTTTGGTACAAAAATAGATAAATCAATAAACTTCTGTTCGATTTGACTGAAGTAATATTAAAAATAACTTGCTTTGAGACATCTTGAATAATGTGAATAAGAACAAGCATCATAAAAAGGAAATGGGCTTTTATTACCACCAAACCACAAATATGAGCATTATTGAGAAAAAATAAAACTAGGGCAGACAAGAATAAAAAAGTTGATCCAATATTTAAAATATATTTAACACTAATTAAACTTCACAACTATACATAGTAATAGTATTTATAAAATTCTGAACCAAGTTCAGTGAAATCGTTAATTTGATTCTGTTTTAAAAATATACTCATAATTCAGGAATACTGACTCATTAAAAAAGAAAATAAAATAAACCAATTATATTTTAATTTACATAGAAAGCTATATATATAAATGAATTAATATACTATACGTAACAATTATTACACATATTCATTCAAAGCTATCAAATGACCCCCATGTTTTGTATTTCCTTTTATACAATTTCATACCTTTCTGTATAAAACAATGTTTCACTTGAAAACTTTACAGGAGTTTCATCATCAACATGAAGAACTTCAACAGCCTGAAAAAAGACAAACCTTAATTTAAAATTGATTTATTAAATTAAATTAAGTTAGAAATAATGAAAATATACAACATACTTAATTTTAAATAAGTGTAATGTAACAGGCATTCGATACAGAATTGCAAACATAAATAAAAAATATTAAAAAAATGATTGAGGAGATAGAAATAAAAAATACAGCAGAGGTATATAGTTTAATAAATAGCAAAAAAAACAGCAATCCTTTGAGGAGAATTATCCTAACCGAGAACAGAAGAAATGCTGAGTATTATACTGTTCTCCTTACCATTAATAGACTAATTCATATCCTAATGAAGACCTGCCAGACTCAACTACTATTTTAATAATTATATTTGTCTTAGAAAATCTAATTCATAAATAGAAGGAGATTTCGTGCAGGTGTGTCTAATTTTAAATTTTTTTAACATTTAGTGATGAAGTCAGGCAAATCTTTGAATATAGATGCCAAATACTACCAGTGAAATAGGAAAATCATGAAAAGTTTATGAAAACATAAATTAATGAATGACCCAGAATCCTAGAAGGAAATAATGAAATAGATATTATTTTCTTTTAACATATCCACAGTTTATGTTTCGGAGCAGTAATGCTTCCGAACCATATTGCTCTTGTTACTAAATAGGCAGAGATAATATTAATTATCTTCTTTTCATCGCATCTATAAATTATTATTATTTAAGTGTATATATAGTTCTCAATAATGCCCATTTTGTTATTTTATATTTTATAAATGGACTAAATCAGCTGACTTAATAATAATGATAATTTTTTTTTTTTTATTTGTTATCCCCTTCCTCGCCTTTTAGACTATATGGGGACTTTCCTGGGCCAAGAGGTGAGGGCGAGGGATTAATGCTAGAGTTAAAAGACCACCCCTAACCACTCCTGGCACTGTGACGCGAACTCTTAATTAATTTGTTGCCTGTAACTTAGTTATCAAGTTGGCGGGTAACGCGTGGTGCTGTGCACACATATTAGCCCGCTTGGCCACCCTGCCCCTAGGTTTAATAATGATAATCTATGGAAGTAAATGTAATGTAATTAAAATTATCACTCCTTTTTTTTTGCATTTTTTTTTTATGCAATTTGCACCTGCACAGTTGCGCATCTAGCAAATTTGTTGTACTTTTATTGTCTTGGTGTAATTGCTTGATTTTTTTTTTTTTTTATTGATGTAGTAGGTCTCTTGGCCATTTTCTTCTTAATCTTCGTTGCTCAGGTAACAGGGAGCAGGAGATAGAAAGAACCAGAGGATTGGAGTGATTTTGGGTTGAAGAATGATATGTAGTGTATTTGTCGTGGATGTAGGATTTAACTGTTGGGGTGTTTAAGTCGTTATGTATAGTAGTGTTTGAAATGTACCAAGGTGCGTTAACAATTTTTCGTAAAATTTTTGATTGTTCTGTTTGTATTTTGTTTATGTGTGTTTGTTTTGCTGAACCCCAAAGTTCAGCATTCCCTATTTAGTAACAATAATAATATCCTTCGGAAGATAGGGAGTATTGCTCCAAATTATATTCAAGTCCAAAAACATAATATTCATTAAAACAATCGACAGCCACACTGCAAAAATCTATAAGGACAATTTCTGGAAAATGAGGTAATGAGCTTTTCTGATCAATCTTGTCCTGAATGAATGAAATCTATGATGTTTCAATTCTTCTCAATGGCCTCTTGCAGAATTCTGTAACTTAAAACCAGCAAATCGCGATGTGAAAAACTGTAAGTTACAGTGAAGGTTATAGAGATTGTGTCTTTACCGAGAAAACGTAATGAAATGATCAAAGAAAGTTGTTTAAGTAAGTATAGACTACAGGATCAATAAGCTTTATTAATAGACTAAAATAAATTTTTCTCATACTCATTGTATTCTTTTATTAAATTTCTAATAAGATGATCAGGTCCTCCTGCTTTGAGGTTGTCACTACTTATCCTTGGAACTAGATGGAGCAAAGAAGAGAGTGGTAATTGGGAATTTAATGTTGAACAACCTTCAAAACAATTGAAACCTCCAGGCAACAGCAAAATGAGATAGTGAGAGATATAGAATTGATTTCATTAATTGGAAAATTTAACACGAGGCCAAAAAAGAACTCTAGTTTCATCTTTTTAAACCAATGAATCTTCAAAATCACAAGAAGCTCAGAAATGAAGTGTTCTACACATCAGCAGATTACCTTAAACTTATCAAGCATTCGTGAATCAAACTACGTCCATATGAAGTTGAGTACGTTGAAAACGAAACTTTCATAGACTACTCCAAAATGGGCAGCATGCATCAGTCGCCACTACAGTGGAAAACAAAAAAGTGAATAACCCGTGTGATCAAATACCCGCTCGCTTTCCGGTCAAATATTTTACAAATTTTCTTTTGAAGTATCGTTTTTTATACAAATATCATACATTTCGGAAACTGACTTTTTTTCCTGTCATGATTAACAAAGTTAGGGATGTTACTACAGAAAAATTGATTGTTTTTAACTAATACCTGTTTTTTGAAATAACTAAAAAGCTATAAGTTAGAAGTTATGGCTCTAAAAGATTATTTGGCAGAAATACAATCAAAAAAGTTACATAGAGCATTACACTTTTTCCTTAGGCCTGCAAAACAAATTAAGCTGAAAATATAATGCTCATAGAACAAAAATTAATCAGCTTTTTCATCTCCTGAAAATTTTTGGTTTTTGTTCTAACAGGATTTTGCAGTATTTCTGTCGCAATGTAACACTTCATAAAATTAACAATAACCTTTAGATCTGCATAAGGCTGTTTACAGGTGAAAGATACTGTTAAAGGGAAAAAGTCTGAAGGAATAGCAGAAGATGTCGAAAACTCCATCGCTCCTGATTTGTTACTCCTGTCAATAACTGGCAGTACCCATTGCAGCAAGTTCCTTCGGGACTCGTGTTTGTACTCGCCATCACACTCAGCAACAACAGGAGAGCACCCAATACTGAAAAAATAAATCACAACAAAAATTAACTTCAACATTTTTAACATAAAAAAAAAATCCTTTCAATTCTTTTAAGGATGGGAAAGCCCTTCTGCAACACAATTAGCCTCGATGGAATCAGTACTGTCAAAGAAGATTAAGTATATGGTTTACAGTACCCTTTTTAAGTTATAATTTCAGATTTTTCAGGCTATGAGAATAAATGTTGGATGGCCATTGTCATCCCGTTTTTTTGGGGTGAAAACAGTCACAACTTGTTTTTATCCCAATGTATGTATTTAAAGGGCAGGAGAAGTATAGCTACTTTATATAATCAATTTTATACATTTTTACAAATTTCTCAAAACAGCTTTAACGATTTTGACTAAATGCATTTTATCAGTGTTAAATTAAGCTGATTTTAATATAATGTAGGTCTTATTCTCATTGATGTTTTTCAACAAGGTTTAAATGACTAATTTTTAAATTCTCTTTCTCTAAAGTACCTTTTTTTAATAGTTGAAATATTTGATTAATTAACCATTGAATAATTAGTAATTGATTAAAAAAAATGGTTAAATATACTTTATGAAGAAAATTGATTGGTAACTAAAGCAGAAAAAAGCATTGAAAGCTATTTGGAAACAGGCGAGAGTGCCCGATTCCCTCTCTATACAGATACTCGATACCCACCGCTCTGTACAGAGCTTTCATATTGTTAGTTTAACTTTTATATATCACTTATCCATAATTTTAAAATTTTCACATGAAATGTTGAGGATTTACTAATATAAACCTAATAATATACAATATTTACTAATGTTAAGTAAATATTTCGACGAGTTTCGTGATAAATGTTTCCAAAAGATCATTTTTTGCAACCATCACAGGTATTTTTTGATACTATACTGTAAAGTTATACTGTCATTTTCACTTTGACTTCCTTATGTATGTTAATACCTATATACTTTAAGATTGGTAAGTGAAAGTTGTGTGATTACTGTACAAGACATCTCTATACATCGGAAAGGAAAGGAGTTAAAATGACAGTTTATTAATACATAACATATATTAATGAAGAGAAGAATAGTTGGGGTGATCAGTCAAATAAGAAGGCAAAAATAAATGATAATATTTATTTTGACTAAATATTATAATTTATTTTTGCCTTCTTATTTGACTGATCACCCCAACTATTCTTCTCTTCATTATTCACGACAGTTAACCATTTTACTCACAATAAGATATATTAATAGAAATGAAGAAAAAAATTGAGGTGTCTAGAAGCTTACGGTAATGGAATGTTGATGGTAACATCATTTAGTTCAAGGTGAGAATGTTCGAGCTCATACTCAATATTGACATCACATCCTCCTTGTCCATTTTCAGATGGCCAGCAGTTTACTGTAACATATAGAAAAAAATCAAATATATTGATCGACATTTATTATGGATGACAAACACGCTGACTGCCCACAGTACTTTATTGGCATTCTGGTCTTAAAATCCAATTTAATTTAATCATAATATATTATTAAAAACTTTAAATAATTATAACAAATTTCACTATAGCTGCAGAAATAAGCCACTAAAGCATCCTACAAAATAACTTGTTTGTGTTCTAGGCAATAATACTAACTAAAAGTCATCTTGTAGGTGGGTAGTCAATGTGTTAAGTATTTTCATTTTCTCAATAAACTTAATATTAAAATCATTAAGGATAGATGGAGAACAAGACCAAAATAGATTAAAAAAGAAAGAAAGATCTATTTAACAGTGATATAACTAAGGATGCACCTCAATACAAGTGTTGTTCCTGTGCTCTCCCTTTCCTTTCCAGAAAAAATAATCTATTTTGTCCTTACTCTTAATTCACAACTTAACCTCACAATTTTTTTTTTCATACTAAAATAAGTAACTATATGTTGCTTAAAAAGACTAAACATTTTTTTTATTTGGTTGAAATGTTTATGAACTACGATCACGTTTTCTCGCTCTAATGAGTCGTATCAGTTGCATTGGCATTATTTAAGACACTAGTATTTAACACACAGAATTTTTTTAAGTTCCATACTGAATCATTTTGGTATTGATAATAAGAATTAATACGCATCCGATCATTTTTTCACACCAGTTCCTAACCTTCAACTTTGGCCAAATCAAACATGTGACTTTTGAGTAGAGGCATATCAAAGAAAATATGTAGGTAATAAGAAGCCAAATACATAATTCGATAGAATTGATACATAATTTTTTTGGTAATCCTCAATTATTTTCCAGCTTTTAACCAAATCAAACAAACCATTTTTGAATAAAAGGTATGTCTAAGAAAATAAATTCACATGTACATATGAGAAATTATTTTGATGAAATTGCATAGCATAGGTTCTCGAATATGAAGTATCAATATGCTCTGAAATTTTCATGAAAATTGGATTAACAGTAGGTGTTATATGGATGTGACTACAGTCTTCCATCCTAATGTGTAGAGCATAAAATGCGAGTGGAAATATTCAATTCTGAGAATTAAAATTTTTTTTTCCATCTTCCTCACGAATACAAAACTTTCCAATCTTTGGTAGTGAGGAAGCACAAATAAAAAGCTCACCATATCGAAAGTTAAGAGAAGTAGATAAAACATCACTTGTAAGGAATATGGGGTAGAGGCTTTGCATGAAAACTATCTTACGACAAATCTTTCAAATTTTGATATAAAATATTTTTACTAATTTTTTATGGATTATAAATGCAGCCTACGATACCATGTTGGTTCTTTTATATTAACCCTCCTGTTCAGTTGTTATTTATTTAATTAAGTTCTTCAGAAGTTAAAAAAAATCCTCTTTTTATTCTCTTCATCAAACCACAATGAAAACTTAGCTTCCAATATTAAGCATAATAAAATAAGAAATCCAAGAATTAGAATATTTGTCTAAAAATTTAAACAGCTAATGAGTTCAGAGAAAATTACTCACTGGTTAGAGGAAGTGCAGATTCATCTTGAGATTGGTATCGCCATTTAAGTACACCTACATCAGTTCCTAAAGGAAATGGTTTTGAAGGATTCTTCAAACCAATCTGCGACTTCATTTTGAATAATTCTTTATCCACGTTCGGATGCGTCTGGAAACCAGAACCAATGATAGTATAAAAAATTAATTATATAAACCAAAATTTATTTATAATTTTAATCCCAGTAACAACAAAATAGGAATGAAAAATAAGTACAAATATTAACACTAAGCTATATGACACTGTTGCTACAATTTAGTCCAGTTAAATAAGGGTTCAACCTTGGAGGGAAAGATATGAAACTGAAAATTTGGATTTATCTTTATTTCGACAAACGCTGGGTAAGTTTCTTAAAATCTCTTGATGGTGTCTCAAATGATTAAAGATCCAATATAAAGACATACACAGGTTTTATTTTTAATGGATTCTTTCAGGAAATAAAATTTTAGGGCAAATTAATATCATTCACTTTTTTAATTAGGTTTAATGTTGACAGTATGCCTCATATTAATTTTATGTTATTCAACTATGATCTCCCTTATTTTATTCTGATATTTCCCCTGATATTCTGATATGGGAAGAGAAGATTATCTCGGCACATTCTTTATGTATACATCAAAAATCAAAACGATGGGTTCAAGGTTATGAAAAAAATTTGAAATGCACCCTCATTCCATCTTTTATAGTCGAAAAATGTAATTATTTTTATCAATAATTATCAATGGAGAAAATATGAACAAAAACTAACCATTACATTTTGGCCATAAATATCAGTTATATAATAAAAATATCAGTATAAATAAACATATAAAGAAAATACTTTCAACAAATACTGATAGTATCCAAAATTTTAGGTAAACCTGTACACTTTAAGTAAAAATCACTTTCAAATAGTACTTTAATTTTGTCAATTGGTTCAGTACTTTGCCTGAAAAAAATAATCTATCTAACAGAAATATTATGTAGTAGATAGCATATCAACGCAAGAGTTCTTAGAAACCTATGTAATTCTCCCTAATTTGTATGAAGCATAAGCGATAGTAGACAGAAACATGTTTATTTCGGTGAATAATAATATATTATTATCATGAGTCTATTTGACACACAATTGATCAAGATACACACTTTATACTGACATTTTAATGTACCTTAACAAGTAATTAGCTTGGCTTAATGAGAATGAATTAGTGATCTTATTCATAGAAACTTAAAAACCTTAATAATGATAGGTGATAAGTATCCCATGGTAATGCTACAATAAGGGTGACTCATTCAACAGGCACACCTTTATTGAGCGTTACCTCGATAACAGTAAGTTTTAGATTTGAAAAATGCATACCCCAGTACATTAAAGAATAACATCACTGGGTTTTAATGTATGCATCGGAATTTGTCATATCTCAATCCACCAATTTACCATGGTTGCAGTTGGGAGCCTATTACTATGTTTGGATCAATTTTATTTACTTTTTACACAAAAATAAAAACTGAGAGTGCAAATACTCCATGAAATTCTAAATCCAACTCATAATAACTCATTTATGGCATTTGAGCAAGGCTGGGCATTACATTTGGTACAAAACTGATTTTAACACTTAGCAAAACAGTATATCGTTACTCTTAGTGCAAAAGATCCTATGTAACAATTTTCCATCCATATTGAACAGTATCCATCCATGACATTTCATCATCATAAAATATGAAATTATACTAATAAATCATAAAGAAATAATTAGTTTTTATGCTCTCAAGTAAAAAAACTCAATTTTCACATACAATCTTTTGCACTAACAATAGCGATACATGGGATAATAATAATATTAATATTTGATACTCATTATCAATCAATTATAATTTAAACTTTTAGAACAAATAATACCTGCAACTGAATTCCTCTCTTATCTTTGTTATCGAGATATACTTTTATCTTTGCATATTTTTCATCAGTTATCCGTAATGTTACCAGACCATGGAGCTCAAAGCTTTGTATTCCACCATCCTTTCCTACAGAAACCATTAGTTTTTCTTCCTGTTTTAGATGGACCCTAAAAAGACAATATCTATTTAAACTAATTCTTGAAATGTAAAACAAAACATAACAGAAGGTGAAGTTAAAATTAAAATACAAGTGACTAGTAATCTAATGTATCGGTTACATATTAATAAGATCTTAAAAAGAATATTTTAACTTAAAGCTAAAAATAAAAACGTAGTTATTAATTAATTAGAATAATTGAGTGATGTAATAACCTGATGTCTTCCAATCAAAATAAATAAATAAAAGAATTTTTGTTAAACTATAAAAGATTTATCAAAGTAATCACTACAACAAAATTTAAAAAAGTTCTTTTTGGGATTCCTTATCACTTCAAACATGAATATTGTGAATTTTTTTTCAGTAACTTCATTATGGTATTTTATGAATTCAACCATGTTTATAATTTAATAGATACACAACAGAAAACTTGTCTTTTTATCCTCACACTGATTATTGCATTGAAAAAAATAAGGTTAAAAAAATTAAACACATAAATTTAATATTTTTAAAAGAAAAAACTTACTCTTCCATATGAATATTTGGTGTAGAGGCTAACTTAGCTGCAACAGGTTTATTCGCAGCCACTTGTGAAATCACATTTTCTCCCTCTGATTTTAGTTGATCAACAAATGATTCGACATCTCTAGATTTACCACCAAGTTTCATAGCTTTCGCTGTTAAGACAGGTTTCCTAAACAGAAAAGATAAATCTATCATAAATATACAACATTAAAGGTGTTTAATATTAAATTATGCTAAGGGAACACCTGTAAGAAAAAATTGGAAAATAATTCAATAAATTAGCAAGGAATCTAAAAATAAAACAAAAATAAAAAAAAACTATTTAAAGATGGTTCAATATCCATAAATCTACTAACTAAATTGGACCAAATACATACCTCTCAAGATGAATTTTGGTGTTTAATAGGTAACAATAATTTTAATTGTAAAGGTAGTTCAAAGAAAAAAAAAACTTTGGTGCTTCTGATTGGAGATCAGAACACAGTCAGGAACTACAGTCCCAATTTTTTTAATTTTTTTTTGAGGTGTTGATTCACAGAAAAGGAGCCCTGACGAGAAGAAGAAAAGAGTGAAGGGTGAGGTAACTTTCCCCCCTCCTCTTTCTTGTCTTTTCTACTATAAACTATAAACAGTTTTCCCAGGCCAGGGGAGAGGGTGATGATTAATACCACAGTTGAAAGCCCTCTTGGCAAAAGCATACAAACTCATAATTATTTTATCATGTTATCTTCAGTTTATCAGGTTGGCGAACAATGCCAGCACAGCCACCCCGCCCTCAAGATGTAATCATTTTCTGAAAATAGGCTAACACCCTGACTTAGTAAAAAAAATTAAATAAATAAAAAGTCATATTTTTGCTTGATAAAATGAACCAGGGCTCCCATCTCCTCTTTGAATTGTTCAGTAAAAAAATAAAGCTTGTAAGATTGTACAAAAAAAATACTACATAAAATGGTATTAAAGTTGCCTACTTACGCAGGTGTGTATGTAGGTTTAGGCAGATCAATAGTTTCGACAACAGGGCTAGTGTACGTTGATGATGAACCGAATCCAGCAATACTTGGTGTTTTGTAGCCTTTCTTTCCAGCTTCTAACCTTTGTCTCTGCAGCTCTTTGGCCTTTTCCCTCATTTTATTTTTAGCTTCTCTCTCTTGAGACTGTTTACAATTAGAAGCATTAATTACATATTTTCTTAGTTCCAGAACCATTAACATTAAAATGGTACTAGAAAAATATATATGATAATGATCGATTTCAAAGATAAAATAAAATATTATTAAAAAGAAAGAGAAATACAATTCACTACCAATAAATCAGGAAAATAATAAAATACAATCCTTTGGAAATTTAATAATAAACTAGGAAGAAATTTTAGCACTTCAAGTTAAAGAAATGAACTTTTCATCACAATATCCACCCATGAGAAATTTTAAGTACAAATTATTAAAAAATATTTTAATTAAAAAACCGTCTGTAGAAATTAGGAAACTCTATCCACCCAAAGGGAATGTACTTCCATATCTACTGAAACATTTCGGTAGATTGACATGTATGAATACTAAAACATAGTGTAGTGGTCGGGGTTCAGTTCTTCTACACATTTACGTCTCTAGAAAAATAGATTTTGTCCCATGTATTGTTGCATGTCAACATCCGAAAGAGTCTTGAGGTGTGATAGGAACCACACTACTACACCAAGTTTAAATATTCGTATATGTTTATTTCTTTATCAATCTACAAAGATGTTTCAGTAGATATAGAAGTAAATTCCCTCAAGGTGGATAAAGTTTCCCAATTAATGTAGTCTGTTTTTTTTTTTTAAATTAAAATGTTTATTTTTTCATTTTTAGTTTTTAAAATATTAACAATTCATTTTCATAACATATAACACATGATATTTCAAATCTATTAATAATCGAGATATTTAAACAATAATAATTTTTTTTCTCCATATTTTGAGCTCAAATTTTCTCAAAACATTCATGGGATCTAACTGGGTAATCATAGCGGTCAAAGTTAAAAATCGATGACGCCATCAGCTCAAAAAATCTTTATGTACCTTTTAGCGGATTGATTAAACACACTTTACACAGAACTTTGAGCTCAAATTATTTCAAAACAAACATGAAATTTCACCGAATAATTTGAGCCATCAAACTTAAAAATCAATCCAGCCGTTTGCACAAAACAGCGTTTACATACCTTCTTAGCGGACACCACGAACATATTATCCTCATGTCTTTATGCTTTCTAAACAATCACGAGACCCCGTTATAAAACTTAACAAAGAAAGAAAAGAAAAAACAAATAAAAAAAAACCAGTTACAAAGCTTTTTGCAAATTGATTTAACACATTTAATAACGATTCAGTATTTTTATCACAAACTGTTTCAAACCATTCAGGGTATCTCACCGAATATTTTGAGCTATTAAACTTAAAAAACAAACCAGCGGTTCCCTCAAAAAAATTGTTACATAGCTTTTAGCTTATGACCCGACCCATACACAACCCTCGTTTCGCTTCGCTGATTAGGATACAAATTTAATTGTCAATAATAATTAATGAAATATTACATCAATTACTCCAATATTTATGTCTAACGTCCCAAAATATTCTAAATAAATTAAAATATATTCATATTTTAGCTAAAGTTTACTACATTTAAACCCAATATCAGGGATGAAAATATTTCCTCTAAGCCTTAAAAAGTCTAAATGCTGATATTTACGAAACATACTTTTTTAACTGAAAATTTGCACAGATTCTGATATCCAGATTGTTTGTGTTATCAAGAGTCAACATATATTGTTTTAATCTCTTTCCTTCATACTTACAAAAAAAAAATAATATGTCTTTAGTAAGCTTATAGTAATAATAACATTAGGAGGGTTGCATATGAATGGATGAAACAGTTTCTCTGTGGAAAAAGAACAAATGGATTGAAAAATCTAATTGTGGCAGTCAAGAACTTTAATTAATAGCTGATGATTTTTGTTGTCTTTGAGGCATAAAACTAGATTACTGAGCCATGTAAATATAGCCTAAAACGAATATTTGAGTTTCATGCAAGATAATCCCATAAATTTTTTTGTTTTTCAGTTGTTTTAAAAATATAGAAACAGACTTTACTTAACAGTTGGTTAAGTAACAAATGCTTTTTGGGCATTGAATAAGGATACTTATTTATGTGTAACCTATATAATTATGTTATTTTTAGAATTGAAGATGTAAAAACTACAGTTAATAATATTTGTAAAAATAAAAATAAAGTCTCTCTTACCTGTCTTACAGCCATGTATACTTTCTCTTCATGAGAATCCATTTCAACATAAGTCCTAATCTGAGCTAAGTTAACACTTTCCCTGTAACCAAGAGCCACAATTTCATCAAATGCGAAAATCAGATTAAATGCATTTTCAGTAATTTCTGACTCTTCCATATTGCGGCAATACTCAGGGATCTAGAATGAAAATTATTGAACTTAAATTACATTATAAGAACATAACTCAATTATAAATAAGAACATATTTAACTCTAGGTAAATGGATCAAACTTTAAAAGTAGTTATTGGTGTTAATATTGATTCACATTTAGTCCACAATAAGTAATGGACTTAAGATCTAATTAACTTCTTTTTTTTTTTAATCTAAACATTTAACCCTCACTCTCCAAGAACCACAGGTTTTAAGGAATGCTAAGAACTAAATACTCCTTTTGGGTCTCTAACAATTTCTCCTCATGTATAATAGTTGAGGAATAAACCTTCATAACAATTTCCAATCTTTATTTCCTTGGTGTTTTGCATTTTCATAAGCAGTTTACTGTCAAATTTGTTTTCTTTTTTATATTTTCAGTTTTTATTTTAATCTTTGATTCATTATACAGTTTTTTACTCTTAATATTTTCATTCTATCTATCACTAAACTATATGATTAATTTGTCTTTTAAAAAGTCAGTTAAATGTATAATTGGCTGTTTATAATAATTATATATATAACTTACATCCCAATAGCAGGATCTGCATAGAAAGAAAATCGACCCCAAGAGAAGACAAACATCCTTCCCACAATAACTGGAGCGATCTGGAATCAGATTACTAACACTTGGAGAAGAAAGACCACTAAAGAGCTGCTTACAGAAACTGGCTCAATCAATATCTCATGATATGAAGGCAAAGAGGTTAAGATGGGCAGGACATGTAGTTGACGTGAAAACGCTGCTAGAATAGAACATGATTTGGCTTCTGTTCTGTTTTCTGATGAGTCCAGGTATAAACTATATGGTGCAGACAGACGAGTTCTAGTATGGAAAAGACCAAGTAAACAATTAGCTCAGTGCAATATAGTGGGCAGAGTACAGTTCGGAGTCGTGATGGTTTGGGGTGGAATATGTTTAGAGTCAAGCAAGGACCTCCATGTGTTCCGAAGGACGACACTAAATCAACACACATATATCACTGACATCCTTGAGGAATATGCGGTACCTTTCAGCCCGTTTATTTCCCTCTGTTTCCTTTTTATAAAGGATAATGCTCGGGGCACACATCAAAAAGTTGTACGGCACTATCTAGACGAGGTTCATACAGGAAAAAAAAAACAATATAGTTAATATAATCAGTTAGACTTGTTTAAAAAGAAAAATTAAACATATAGCTTGATGATGTATAGGACAAACATAATAAAATAAATAACTATAAAATTGATCGAATGTTAAAATGAAAAAAAAAAAAGTTTGACAGTATAATACTTTTGAAAATGTGAGATTAGCCCGAAAAGTTATGCAAATAAAGCTATAAAATTGTTATAAAGGTTCATTATGCATCTTCCAAAAACTATTGTTGTACATTAATAACAGAAATTATATATATATATTTGCACATTTCTAATTTAAAATGAAATATCCATCGAGCTTGTATTAATTAAAGAGAGCATGGGTGTAAAAAAAAAGTAGAAATAGATTTGCTAGATAGATCTAAAGAGAAAATGAAAGACAATTGAGTTAACTATCAATTGTTATTAATAAAAAAATCTGGTGCGCGCATCACACGACTTTCACTTACCATCCTCTTCTTAGCAGAAATAAATATTTTCAGACAAAGGGGAAGTGAAAGTAAAAATTATTGATAATTTACGACATAGTTATTTATAAAATTATCTAATATACAGCATCTATGCTATATTTATTTACAGTTCATTGTGGGTATTTTTATTTGTGTAAATACTCTTATATAGAAAAATTTCAATTTTTATATCGCCGTATTCTATACAATTAAATATTAAATAATACCAAACATAGCATTTATGAAAACTGCATATGTATATGTACATATTGTTGGAGTCCATGTTATATTAAGCTCATGTTACATATGTACTCTTTTATGTATGTATTCCTTTGGTTCTTCCATTACAACTATTATCCATTACGATCCCTTATAACTCCTTTAGTTAATTATCAAATTCTTTCATATTTTATATTTAACTATTTTTTGTATCAAAGATTCAATTGAAATGGTTAATTATTTCAAATATAAAATATTAAAGGTACTTTAGAGAAAGCTAATATTGGAAATTAGCCATTTAAGCCCTGTTATAGAACATAAATGAGAATAAAATCTACATTATATTAAAAACTGCTTAATAAAACACTGAGTTTAATCAAAATCATTAGAGCCGTTTTTGAGAAAATCATAAAAATGTCTTAAATCGATTATATGAAGTACCACTTGCGGTTGCCGATTTAGACGAAAATGTTTCTGTAACATCCAATGATTATAAAAACCTCAAATACACAATTTCAGTTATGTATGGCTTTTCGTTTTTGAGCTAGGCTATTCACATACATACACACACACACACAGACCATTTTGCGGGACTTGGTTATTTGGACTCAGGTGAACTCAAAATTTCTTAAGTCAGCTATTAAAATGTGTTTTGTTAGTTTAATGCAAATTTTGTGTAGTCCCTGTATAAAGAAATTAGTGCATCAAATAATTGTTGTACAGCAATTTTAGTATATATCTGGAACAAGTTAGTTCATTCAAGAGATGACTTTAAAGTTAGCTATAATTTTCTATGACAAAGTCAAATTAACTAATGCACTGAACTTATCATGAATTAATAATTTATGATCAGATTTATTGATTGAATGAATCATTTAATAAAATGATGATTCAACACAAATAATGTTACAATACATATTCAGTCTATCAAACATACATTAACAGATAGCACACAGGCAGACCAAGCATCTGGCTAAGAGTGGATAAAATTGAATGTCTTGAATTGTCTTTTTAGATAAAAACAAATTTGAAAGTATGAAAAATGGGTCACAGCACATTAATGTTAATAATCTCTACTTAGATATAAAGTAATGATTGTTTTTGGAGATAAAAGCAGCTAGCTGAATGTGCTGGCATTACCTATAGGCTACATCAAAAATCCTTAGGTAGTTGTTATCTTGTAAAACATTATCAATGTGATAAAGACTATAATACATACCACACGAGAAAATAGTCTTAATGTTTCAAGATCTTCTAAAATATTTGAGGCCTTAGTAGTAATCAGCACCATGTAAAGTTTCTCAAGCGGCTGATACACATATCGCACTGAATCAGTTTCAACAAATGTATGCTGTTTACCCGATGACATCAATTTTGGAAATGCTGCTAACAATCCTTCAATGCGGGCCTTAGTCATTTCAACAAACTGCCTTGAAACAATGGCTATAACAAAAGTAAGTAATAAGGAACAGGATGGAACACTAAGAGATGAATTAATTAGAATACACAAGATACTTACTTTTACCAGCTTTTGTGCAAACCGCTGCTGCGATTAGCACCTGAAATAAACAACCATATAAAGTAAGAATTCTATAAAAATGATATAACATAAATCAGCTTCTAGGTTAAGTGCCATGCTAAATATCAAATCACTCTATTTATGTATCATACAACTAATATAATATCTCCTGTTTGAATACTTACCATGGTTGCAAAAGCGATAGAACAGTCCTTAAGTCAGTAAATAAACTTCAACTGAGAAACATAGTTTCACCTATCAAAGACAGTTGGCAGTCAAACCTGGAGCAGTAGTACGTAAGCTGACGTGTACCGGTTAAAATTTGTTATTAAATTAGCTCTCTAAATATTAATATAAATACAAATAAAATTATTTTAATTTTTAAGAAATTTTCAATAACCTGATTTTCAGCTTATATTCTAATATCAATCAAGAAAATTTAATGTACTGTATGTGACACAACTGAATATAAAACGGTGATTTGGAAGTGACTGTACACAGACTTACAGCAACACTCCACAGATGTCAGGACAAGCGGGCTGACCTGTTGCCCCTCCTTCTCCATGTATAATGCCAACTTTTGAAATTATTTGTAATTTCTTAAATGACCGCATTTTCTTTTATTCTTTCCATACATGAATTCCATTAATAGTAAAATAGGCGAGAAAAATATTCACACCTCGTTCTGAAGATGAAATAGGCCATAATTGTTTGATATTTATTGATGTTTTAGAATTTCTCACCGGGAGCGGTTGGCTATAGAAAGGTACGTGGGTCACTTAGGTGACGGTTTATTTAGTATCGTAAGAGCGCGCGGATGATGAACAGTGAAGGTGTGGCTGTAACAGTTTTGTTGTGATAATGGGTAGTAAAAAGGAACAAGAAGCTATGATAAACAATGACTACCCGGTCGGAAAGGAACCCTGGTCCTATCAAGCAAAAAGATTCATCTACAACAGAGATAATGGTGCTTTTATGGGAAGAACTGCTTCAAGTTGGGGTGAGTATAAGCCTCTCTTTTAAGATTATATTTTTCTCATATCATAGATAATTTAAAATTAAATCAGTGATAGTACAAATATGTAATGCAAATTTGAATAAAATTGTTTTAAAAGAATTTTTTTTAAATTATGGAATCCATAAGTTACGATAGTAATTACTTTCGAAGCATCAGTTATAAATTTAAATAAAGTGTGTCGTACCTCTGTTGTATCTAAAGTACGTGTATTTACGGTATCTGAAGTTGATAAGCACTCTAAGTTCTTCGAAAGAACCTGTTATTGTTTACGCCCAGTTCTTCACATAGTTCATTATAACCTGAAAACTACCTGTAAAGGCGCTTCTATTGTGGATATCATTATTTCGATGTTCTTGATTTTTTTTATTTGCTGATGACTGATAATCATCATTCATCTGGTTAGATTAACTAAATTTTGATAGTCATTTATTTATAAAATATCTTTAATTCTACCTTCATATTATTTAAATAAATTAAATGACGAAGAATAAGAATTAAGCGCCAGTAGACCTTGTAAATATAAATGTGCTGCTTAACATACCGCCTTATCTAGGCATTGATGTCTCTTCCCCGTCTTACAATTTATGAAATTCTTGAGATATATAATTTTTAGTTACAATTTAAATTAATGTATCATCAAAAAAAAAATTTTTTTTAGTTTAATGTCTGTTTTTAATTTATTTCTCTTATTCAATTCAATCATTACAGGAAATCATGACTGAGAATTAAAGTAGTTATTAATGTATGTTTGTGCATAGGCTATATTATTTTTATGTTTAAGAATCTCTAGTTTATTATTATATTTTAATTATTAAATATAAGATAGAGATTATACAGTTGCCATTTAATGCGATAATTAATTTACATTGGGAAAATAAGAGATTAAATTTAATGATTTGCTAAATATTGTAATAAAAAATAGTTGTGTGTATGTAATATATTATTTGTAAACTTCCTAGTACATAAAAATTATAAATAAAAAAGATTAAATTAAAACACTCTGTCAATAAACTTGTTTTAAAGCGTTAGGAAATTATTCCAATGCGGTTAATCTTTAATTCAGGGAGGAAGGTTTGAAAGCACACTGAGTAAATATTAAGCTGGGAACGGATCTGTCTGTTCATACAGGAGAATACTTTTTTTCTGTCAATGATATCGACATAGTGGAAATTTTCATGGTCAATAGCGAATCCAGAAATTACTTTGGAAGGAGTGCCTTAATCCCGAAAGCTTTTTTTTATTTATATATAACTATTATTACTTTAGAAGAAAAATAAAGAAACTAACTACCTTTATGAAATGGTGTTTAAGTAATACTTAAAGTCCTATTAAATGTAATTCCCCGACCAAAAATACTTTTAGAGATAATTTCTTTATATTTTTATAATAAGACATGGTTATATTTTTTCATTTTGGGGTGCTTCAGGCGGTTTTATTGACATGATATATTTTAAAATATTTTTTTCAGAAACATTATTTTGCATAGCAGAAAATGTTTCTGTATATGGGATAAAATATTTGTCATCTAAATATAGTTCTCATATTTTTACAGTTAACGGTGTCCATTAATATGCCGCCTATGTAAATTCGTAATTATAAAAAAAATCCAGTGTTTGTTTTGGTAATATATTACGAATGCCAGAAGCAGTTTAAGGCGACCAATATCGATTTTAAATTCACAAAAAAAATATTGACACAGATGTTCAGGGCCTGAACACGAATTAACTGAGAAACCACGTATAAAACTCAATATGGGGTAACAATTTGAGATTTGTATCTTAAATGTCAGCATGAAATAGAAAGACAAAAGAAATTAGATACCAGTTACCAACAAAAAAAAAAAAAATATATATTGAGATTTCGTTTTTACTTTCCCCTTCATAAGGCAATTTCTTTCTAAAAATAGAGGCAAAATTGTATCTACACTACCACAGGCGTATCTACGGTGAGGGGGAGGAGGCTTTCGGGCTGAAGCCCCCCAAAATGGTAAAATATAACCATGTTTTATGCTAAAAAATATAAAAAAAATATGTCTTAAAGTATCATTGCTCGTTTAATTACATTTAATAGGACTTCAAGAATCACTTAAACACCATTTCATATAGGTAGTTAGTATCTTTCTGTTTTTCCAAAGTAATTGTCGTTATATGTATGAAAAAAAAGCTTCCGGGCTGAAAATTAAATCCTGAATCCGCTAGTGTACACTACAATAATATGTTATTGCAATGGTGGCTGAAAAAAAATCTATTCCTCTGTTTATCATATTTTATTTTATTTTTTCAAGTAGTGCATTTATTTATAAATTTAGTTCCTTTTTCATATGTTCGAATGATTATAACTTTTAACGCAATTCAGCTATCTCAAGAAAAGATCGAAATCTTAAAAAATAAGCAAATTTAGATTATAATTTATCTACGCGAATTTCAAGTTTGCCATTGATTGCATACCACTAAAATTATTTTATAATATCTGTCAAACATAATAATGATGAAACATGTTCAATAAATTGAATATGGATAATTTGGTATATTGTTTTTTTGACGTTATTGATTTTGTTCAATTAACTCTTGCAAAGAAATGTGATAATAAACCAGGAATTATTTAGTGGAATATTAAATGGAATGTAGTAAGATTAGACTAAAGCTAGTCAAAGAAAATTATCTAATTTCTGTAGTCTTAAATTTTTAAATGTTCTGAGTTTTCGTGATCTATCTAGCCTTTGGAAAGAATCGCTAATGCTTCTCTGCTCATTAAGTAATCTTCTTTTGATTTAACTTTCCGATCTCTGGCGGCTAGACACATGACCTTCTTTGAAGAAGCTTTGAAATAAAACAAAAACTCTTGCTTGTTATAGTAGGAGTAGCCAATCGATATTTCTATCTTTGTACCAGGATTGTATTATACATCTCGGCAAACATTCGTGTTGGGAGAGTGATAAAATTATTATTATTTATAGAACCAATTTTCATTTAATTTATGTATTAGGATTGTATTTTCAAAAGCATTATCAAATAGATTTCTAATTCAATTTTCAGAAACACTACTGTTTGTTATTAACAAGTATTCAAATGTTTTAAGCTAATCATTTTCTATTTTCATTTTTTTTTTCGATATTCCACTAAAAGTCGAGATACTAAAAATTACCATTAGGAATTTATCTATATCAGTGCTGTAGTTTTGAAAATATAAAATGTTATATACTATTCTGGCAAAAAAATCCTTTTTTAAAAAAATATTTATTTATGATATTTACAACTGTATTAATATAAATACATCAAGTAAATGTGCGCACAGAAATATAATCACATGAAAACGCTTGTTGAGATACTACTCACTGATAGCACGCAAATAAGAAATTTACCCAAGAAGATCATGAGGCCACATTCTTTTCAGACGCCTCGGAGGGGGACCGAGGAGGATCGAGGAGAATCAGTGTTTGGAACGAGAGGGTTCGGATGGTTCTGTAGTTTGTTATGGAAGGATAGGTATCTGGATTCGGCCAAATCGGAAACATATGGAACATTAAGGTCTCTTTGGATTATTTTATTTGTGACAACGTAAGCAGCATTAAGGATTTTACGAAGGATTTTGGATTGTAGGGGTTGGATGCGAGAGGAATTCGATGGTTTAGTGCAGCCCCGTAGCTCAACTCCATAAGTCCAAATAGGTCTTCTTGTAGTCATGTATATGAGTCTTTTGTAATAAATTGGTAGTTTAGAGCGTTTTTCTAGTAAGTGTTGGAGTAAGCGGAAACGTTGAGCTGTACTTGTCGTTTCAGTCTAGTATGAGGATTCCAAGTGAGATGTTTGTCCAGGTGGAGTCCTATGTATCGGATTTGTTCAACATTGATAAGTGGGGTGTTATTAAAGGATACCGTAAGACAGGATTTATAGGATAGGTTTACGACGAAAAAAACAAACTTAAAATTATTTAAACTGTTTCTAAAATATACTCTATTATTTTTAATGATGGTAGTGTTGTTGAAGGTTGAAATTATTACAGAAGTTGCCTGGGGATGCGACCGGTGCTGAAGAAAAAAAACATTCGCTATTAACAAAACTTAATTCAATGTTTACTAGCGCCTATGCGTAAATTTAATGCCTTCTAATCAGGGCTGTTTTTGTAAAGGTTTTTGAAAATAAAGCACTGCGTAGAATATTTGGACCGAAAAACGACGAGTCAACCGGAGAATTTAGGCGGCCGTTTGATTCTGTTAAGTTAAAAGTCTGTCAGTGTACATTTAGTATCATCATTATATAAATAGGCAAACACATAGCTATTGACGAGCTTTAGTGTTAGCAATAAATAAAAATATGAAATAGTTTGTAAATAAATATATAAATGGTAGTTTGTTCAACTACAGCTAATCTCCGAACGTTTTTCACCGATTTCTTTAAATTTTTGACATAACGTCTCAATAATATTTAAAAGTTTTTTTTTATACGTTTCATTATGATCAGGCCTTTCCTTTCGGAATGGCGCCCGAAAAACGTGATTCACTTTAGGCTCTAGCGCCAATACGACTTTAACGATTTTAATGAAACTTGGCTAAAGTCTTCCCCTTGAAACATTTATAATTCATGTATGTAACGTACTTTCCCGAAAACAGCTGCATACATTTTTATGATGAATTCAGTATTTTATTTGCGAATAACTCAAAAAGTACACATTTTTATTGATAATTCAAATAAATTTATTCATAATTCCAATTATTTGAAAGCTTTCTGAATTCTCTACAAAATAAAAAAAAAAATCATCGAAATCGGACTATTTGTTGCAGAGATATATCATTTCAAACATTTAGTACTTTTTCTTTTGCAACGTCGATTTCCTCTATTTTGGTTTTTGATAAATCGAAAACTTTAAATTTAATGAAGTGATCGGGACTATTATTTGAAGAGATGATATCATGGAATGTTACTTCATAAATTAAATTTAAAAATAAATTCTATAGTTATACTCATTCTTAACTTAAATACTGT